TGAGGGGTACAAGCTCAAGGAGTACTCCAAGTCCATGGACGAGAGCCGGCTGGACCGGGTAGGGCCGGTGTGAGGGACACAGGTGTGCCCAGGTGTGACTGGTACAGGTGTGCCCAGGTGTGCCCAGGTGTGACTGGTACAGGTGTGCTCAGGTGTGCAGGGATCCAGGTGTGAGGGGTACAAGCTCAAGGAGTACTCCAAGTCCATGGACGAGAGCCGGCTGGACCGGGTAGGGCCGGTGTGAGGGACACAGGTGTGCCCAGGTGTGCCCAGGTGTGCTCAGGTGTGACTGGTACAGGTGTGCCCAGGTGTGCAGGGATCCAGGTGTGAGGAGTACAAGGTGAAAAAGTACTCCAAGTCCATGGACGAGAGCCGGCTGGACTGGGTAGGGCAGGTGTGAGGGACACAGGTGTGAGGGACTCAGGTGTGCTCAGGTGTAACTGACATAAATGTGACTGGCACAGGTGTGACTGGCACAGGTGTGACTGGCACAGGTGTGAGGGACACAGGTGTGACTGGCACAGGTGTGATTTACACAGGTGTGCTCAGGTGTGACTGGCACAGGTGGGACTGGCTCAGGTGTGCTCAGGTGTGACTGGCACAGGTGTGAGTGACACAGGTGTGCTCAGATGTGCCCACGTGTGAGTGTGCTCAGGTGTGCTCAGGTGTGACTAGTTCAGGTGTGTTCAGGTGTGCTCAGGTGTGTAGGGATCTGATGGACGATGCTGGTGGAGCTCAGGTGTGCAGATGTTCGGGTGTGCAGGGATCCAGGTGTGCCCAGGTGTGCCCAGAGGTTCAGGGATCAATGGGATGGTCCTGGTGGATCTCAGGTGTGCAGGGATCCAGGTGTGGCCGGCTGGACTGGGTAGGGCAGGTGTGAGGGACACAGGTGTGAGGGACTCAGGTGTGCTCAGGTGTAACTGACATAAATGTGACTGGCACAGGTGTGGCTGGCACAGGTGTGACTGGCACAGGTGTGACTGGCACAGGTGTGAGGGACACAGGTGTGACTGGCACAGGTGTGATTTACACAGGTGTGCTCAGGTGTGACTGGCACAGGTGGGACTGGCTCAGGTGTGCTCAGGTGTGACTGGCACAGGTGTGAGTGACACAGGTGTGCTCAGATGTGCCCACGTGTGAGTGTGCTCAGGTGTGCTCAGGTGTGACTGGTTCAGGTGTGTTCAAGTGTGCTCAGGTGTGTAGGGATCTGATGGACGATGCTGGTGGAGCTCAGGTGTGCAGATGTTCGGGTGTGCAGGGATCCAGGTGTGCCCAGGTGTGCCCAGAGGTTCAGGGATCAATGGGATGGTCCTGGTGGATCTCAGGTGTGCAGGGATCCAGGTGTGCCCAGGTGTGCAGGCTCCAGGAGATGACCCCATGCACCTCAGGAGACGATGCTGGGGGATCCTCAGGTGTGCTCAGGTGTGCCCAGGTGTGCCCAGGTGTCCCCTGTGGCAGGTGGAGGAGTACGAGGAGGAGATCCAGGTGTGCCAGGTGTCCCCAGGTGCACCAGGTGCCCCCAGCTTTCCCAGGTGCTGTAGCTGTGCCCAGGTGTCGCCAGGTACCGTAGGTGTGCCCAGGTGAGACAGGTGTGCCCAGGTGTGACAGGTATGCCTGCAGTGGGGTTTTAGCTGTGCCCAGGTGTGCCCAGGTGTGCCCAGGGGTGCCAGGTGTGCCCGTAGCGGGGTTGTAGCTGTGCCCAGGTGTGCCCAGATGTGACAGGTATGCCTGCAGTGGGGTTTTAGCTGTGCCCAGGTGTGCCAGGTGTGCCCATAGCGGGGTTGTAGCTGTGCCCAGGTGTGACAGGTGTGCCCAGATGTGCCCGTAGCAGGGTGTAGGGGTTCCCAGGTGTGCCAGGTGTGCCCGTAGCGGGGTTGTAGCTGTGCCCAGGTGTGCCAGGTGTGCCCAGGTGTGGCAGGAGCCCTGCAGTGTCCCTTTGGCAGGTGAAGGAGTACGAGGAGGAGATCCACTCGCTGAAGGAGCGGCTGCACATGTCCAACCGCAAGCTGGAGGAGTACGAGCGGCGCCTGGTGACGCAGGAGGAGCAGACCAGCCGCATCCTCCTGCAGTACCAGCAGCGCCTGGAGCTCAGCGAGAAGCGGCTCCGGCAGCAGCAGCAGGAGAAGGACTCGCAGATCAAGAGCATCATCGGCAGGTGAGGGACACACGGGGACAGCGGGGACAATGGGGACACCGGGACACTGGGGACACACGGGGACAGCGGGGACACCGGAACATGGAGACACACAGGGACACATGGGGACAGACAGGGGCATGGGGACACACAGGGACACAAGGGGACATGGGGACAGACAGGGACATGGGGACACACGAGGACACACGGGGACATGGGGACACAGGGACATACAGGGACACACAGGGGCATGAGGACACACGGGGACACGGGGACAGCGGGGACAACGGGATGCAGGGACAGCGGGGACACCGGGACACAGGGACACACAGGGACATGGAGACACACAGGGACAATGGGGACAGACAGGGGCATGGGGACACACGGGGACACGGGGACAACGGGGACATGGGGACACACGAGGACACACAGGGACACACGGGGACATGGGGACAGACAGGGACATGGGGACACACGAGGACACACGGGGACATGGGGACACGGGGACATACAGGGACACACAGGGGCATGGGGACACACGGGGACAGCGGGGACAACGGGGACATGGGGACACGCGGGGACAGACAGGGACAATGGGGACTCGCAGATCAAGAGCATCATCAGCAGGTGAGGGACACACGGGGACAGCGGGGACACCAGGACACGGGGACACACGAGGACACACGGGGACAGCGGGACACACGGGGACATGGGGACAGACAGGGACATGGGGACACACGAGGACACACGGGGACACTGGGACACGGGGACACACGGGGACAGACAGGGGCAGACAGGGACATGGGGACACACGAGGACACACGGGGACATGGGGACACGGGGACAATGGGGACACACGAGGACACACGGGGACACTGGGACACGGGGACACACGGGGACAGACAGGGGCAGACAGGGACATGGGGACACACGAGGACACACGGGGACACTGGGACACGGGGACACACGGGGACAGCGGGAACACTGGGACACGGGGACACACGGGGACAACGAGGACATGGGGACACATGGGGACAGACAGGGACAATGGGGACTCGCAGATCAAGAGCATCATCAGCAGGTGAGGGACACATGGGGGACACCGGGGACACCGGGACGCGGGGACACACGCGGACACACGGGGACAGACAGGGGACCTGGGGACAGACAGAGACATGGGGACGTTGGGGACAGCCAGGGACAGTCAGGGGACATTGGGGACACACAGAGACACGCAGGGATGTGAGGACACACACACTGGGGACAGCAAGAGACAGCAGGGGACACTAGGGACACACAGGGACATCGAGGGGGACACAGGGACATCAGGGCTACAGTGACATTGGGGACACCCAGACAGACACGCGGGACATTGGGGACGCAGGGGACAGAGGGACACAGGGGACACAAGGACTTGGGGGTGACACAGGCACACGTAGGACGTGGGTGACACTGAGGTGACACGGGAGCACCAAGGGACACGGGGACACGGTGTGGCCCATGTGTGTCCCCACGATTGTCCCCAAATCCCTGGGTGTCCCTGGCGTGTCCCCAGGTGTACCCAAGGGTGTCCCCAGGGTGTCCCCATGTCCCTGGCGTGTCCCTAGGTGTCCCAGAGGGCGTCCCTGTGTCCCTGGGTGCCCCTGGGTGTCCCTGGCATGTCCCCAAGTGTCCCTGAGGGGTCCCCGAGGGTGACCCCAGAGTTGTCCCCATGACCTTGAGGCGTCCCCAAGGTGACCCCAGAGTTGTCCCCATGGCTCTGGGTGTCCCAAGGTGTCCCCAAGCTGTCCCTGGGATTGTCCCCATGTCCCTGGGCTGTCCCCAGGGTGTCCCCATGGCCCTTGGGCTGTCCCTGCGAGTGTCCCCATGTGCCCAAGGTGTCCCCAAGTGTGTCCCCACATCCCTGAGGATGTCCCTGTGATCCCAGGGGTGTCTCTGAGCTGTCCCCATGTCCCTGGGGCTGTCCCTGACAGTGGCCCTGTGCTGTCCCCATGTCCTTGAGCTGTCCCCTGGGTATCCCCAGGGTGTCCCTGGGTGTGTCCCCATGATCCCCGGGTGTGTCCCCGTGTCCCCGGGCTGTCCCCGTGTCCCCGGGTGTGTCCCCGTGTCCCTGGCTGTCCCCGGGCTGTCCCCATGTCCCCGGCCGTCCCCGCGGGCCCGGGGGGTGTCCCTGGCTGTCCCCATGATCCCCGGGGCTGTCCCCGTGTCCCTGTGTCCCCGGCCGTCCCCGCGGGCCCGGGGGTGTCCCTGGGGCTGTCCTCTGTCCCCGCGTCCCCGCGGGCCCGGGGGTGTCCCTGGGGCTGTCCCTGGGTGTTTCCCCCTGATCCCCGGGGCTGTCCCCGTGTCCCCGCGGGCCCGGGGGTGTCCCGGGCTGTCCCCGGGCTGTCCCCGTGTCCCTCTGTCCCCGCGTCCCCGCGGGCCCGGGGGTGTCCCTGGGGCTGTCCCTGGGTGTTTCCCCCTGATCCCCGGGGCTGTCCCCGTGTCCCCGCGGGCCCGGGGGTGTCCCGGGCTGTCCCTGGCTGTCCCCATGATCCCCGCGCTGTCCCCGTGTCCCCGTGGGCCCGGGGGTGTCCCTGTGTCCCCGTATCCCCGTGTCCCCGTGTCCCCGGGCTGTCCCTGTGTCCCCGTGTCCCCGCGGGCCCGGGGGTGTCCCGGGCTGTCCCCGCGGGCCCGGGGGGTGTCCCCGGGCTGTCCCCGGGGCTGTCCCCGGGCTGTCCCTGTGTCCCCGTGTCCCTGGCTGTCCCCGCGGGCCCGGGGGTGTCCCGGGCTGTCCCCGGGGCTGTCCCCGGGGGGGTGGCAGCATGACCCCGGTGAAGCCTGGCCCCGCAGGCTGATGCTGGTGGAGCAGGAGCTGCGCAGGGATCACTTGGGCGCCCACGACCCGTCCGAGGGCCGGCGGCGGCTGCTCGACGCTCAGGTGGAAATTACAATGTCATTGCTCTGCTCCGTGTGACATCGGCCATCCCACGCCGCGCTGGGGGCCCGGGGGGGTTTGGGGGGTTGTGAGTGTCCCTAGGGGGGTACTTGGGGGGGTCTGGGGACAGGGCCACCCCCGGGGGGACAACGGGACCCCTGGGGGGGACAGGGACGCCTGGAGGGGACACAGCCACCTCCAAAGGGGACAGGGACCCCTGGAGGGGACAGGGCCACCCCCAGAGGGGACAGAGTCACCTCCAAAGGGGACAGGGCCACCCCCAGGGGGGACAGGGCCACCTCCAAAGGGGACAGGGCCACCCCCAGGGGGGACAGGGCCACCCCCAAAGGGGACAGGGACACCCCCAGAGGGGTCAGAGCCACCTCCAAAGGGGACTCCCACACCCACCCCCCAAACAGGGCCACCCCCAAAGGGGACAGGGACACCCCCAGAGGGGACAACAGGACCCCCCAGAGGGGACAAAGTACCCCTCAGAGGGGACCTGAGGGGGACAGGGCCACCCCCAGCAAGGACAGGGCCACTCCCAGAGGGGGCAAAGTGACCCCTGGAAGGGACAGGGCCACCCCAGAGGGGACAAAGTGACCCCTGAGAAGGGACAGGGCCACCCCAGAGGGGACAGGGCCACCCCCCAAGGGGGACAGGGCCACCCCCAGCAAGGACAGGGCCACCTGGGGGGACAAAGGGACCCCCCAGAAGGGACAGGGCCACCCCCAGAGGGGACAGGGCCACCCCAGAGGGGACAGGGCCACCCCCCAAAGGGGACAGGGCCACCCCAGAGGGGACAAAGTGACCCCTGGAAGGGACAAAGTGACCCCTGGAAGGGACAGGGCCACTCCTGGAGGGACAGGGCCACCCCCGGTTGGGACCAGGCCACCCCTGGGGGGACAAAGCAGCCCCCAGAGGGGACAGGGCCACCCCAGAGGGGACAGGGCCACCCCTGGGGGGACAAAGCAGCCCCGCAGGACACAGGGCCACCCCCGGGGTGACACCGGAGGGACACTTCAGGGCGGAGGTGACACCGCCCCACCCCCCAGCCCAGGGACAGCGCCACCGCCGTGTCCCCAAGGCCACCCCCGTGTCCCCAAGGCCACCACCGTGTCCCCCCCCACAGCGACGGGGCCATTTCTGTGCCCCCTCCTCGGGTCGGGGCCACCCCAAGGCCACCCCGGGGTCACCTCAAGGCCACCTCAGGGGCCACTTCAAGGCCACTTTGAGGTCACCTCAAGGCCACCCCAAGGCCACCTCGGGGTCACCTCAGGGGCCACCTCGGGGTCACCTCAGGGGCCACTTCAAGGCCACCTCAGGGCCACCTCAAGGCCACTTCAGGGGCCACCTCGGGGTCACCTCAATGCCACTTCAAGGCCACCCCGGGGCCACCTTAAGGCCACCCCGGGGCCACTTCAAGGCCACCCTGGGGCCACCTCGGGGGCCACCTCAAGGCCATTTTGGGGTCACCTTGGGGTCACCTCAGGGGCCACCTCAAGGCCACCTCAGAGCCACTTTAGGGCCACTTTAGGGTCACCTCGGGGCCACTTTGTGGCCACCCCAGGGCCACCCCGGGGCCAGCCCGGCCGGGCCGTGTCCCCGCGCGGCGCGGTGGCCGCGGTGGCCCTGATGTCCCCTCCCGTGTCTCTCTTGTCACAGCTGTCCGTCAGGTAGCGCGGCCCGGCCCCGCCAGTGGCACCGGACCCTCGGCCACCGGTGACACCCCAGGTGGGTCCTTGTCCCCTCCCTGCCACCCCCCGGGCCGCACAGGGGGACCCTTGGGGACACGGATCCCAGATGTCCCCAAGACCCTCTCGTGTCCCCAGGGGACACTGGGGACCCTTGGGGACATGGATCTGGAATGTCCCCAAGCGCTCTGCTGGCCCCAGGGGACACTGGGGACACTTGAGGACATGGATCTGGAATGTCCCCAAGCGCTCTGCTGGCCCCAGGGGACACTGGGGACACTTGGGGACATGGATCTGGAATGTCCCCAAGCGCTCCTAAGGGACATTGGGGACCCTTGGGGACATGGAATCCAGGTGTCCCCAAGGCCCTTTTCTGTCCCCAAGGGACACTGGGGACACAGATCTGGGTGTCCCCATGGACCTCTTGGGGACATGGATCCAGGTGTCCTCATGTCCCTCCTGTGTCCCTCCCATGTCCCCAGGGCACATTGGGGACCCTTGGGGACACAGATCCAGGTGTCCCCATGTCCCTCCCGTGTCCCCATGTCCCTGCCATGTCCTTCAGGCACACTGGGGACCCTTGGGGACACGGATCCGAGATGTCCCCAAGACCCTCCTGTGTCACTAAGGGACACTGGGGACCCTTGGGGACACGGATCTGGAATGTCCCCAAGCGCTCTGCTGGCTCCCAGGGACACTGGGGACACTTGGGGACACAAATCCAAGATGTCCCCAAGGCCCTCCTGTGTCCCCATGTCCCCAAGGCACACTGGGGACCCTTGGGGACACGGATCCAGGTGTCCCCATGTCCCTCCCGTGTCCTCATGTCCCTCCCGTGTCCTTCAGGCACACTGGGGACCCTTGGGGACACGGATCCAGGTGTCCCCATGTCCCTCCCGTGTCCTCATGTCCCTCCCGTGTCCTTCAGGCACACTGGGGACCCTTGGGGACACGGATCCAGGTGTCCCCATGTCCCTCCCGTGTCCTCATGTCCCTCCCGTGTCCTTCAGGCACACTGGGGACCCTTGGGGACACGGATCCAGGTGTCCCCAAGGCCCTTTTGTGTCCCTAAGGGACATTGGGGACCCTTGGGGACACAGATCTGGAATGTCCCCATGTCCCCACGGACCCCTTGGGGACACAGATCCAGCTGTCCCCAAGGTGCTCATTGTCCCCATGTCCTTCCCACATCCCTCAAGGGCACTGGGGACACTTGGGGACAGGGATCCAGATGTCCCCAAGGCCCTTTTTGTCCCGAGGGGACTTTGGGGACACGGATCCAGGTGTCCCCATGTCCCTCCCGTGTCCTCATGTCCCTCCCATGTCTCCAAGGCACACCGGGGACCTTTGGGGACACAAATCCAGATGTCCCCAAGACCCTTTTGTGTCCCTAAGGGACATTGGGGACCCCTGGGGACACAGATCTGGAATGTCCCCAAGGACACCGGGACCCCTTGGGGACACGGATCCAGCTGTCCCCAAGGTGCTCATTGTCCCCATGTCCTTCCCACGTCCCTCAAGGGCACTGGGGACACTTGGGGACAGGGATCCAGATGTCCCCAAGGCCCTTTCTGTCCCCAGGGGACACTGGGGACACGGATCCAGGTGTCCCCATGTCCCTCCCATGTCCCCAGGGCACACTGGGGACACTTGGGGACAGGGATCCAGATGTCCCCAAGACCCTTTTTGTCCCCAGGGGACACTGGGGACACGGATCCAGGTGTCCCCATGTCCCTCCCGTGTCCCCATGTCCCTCCCATGTCCCCAGGGCACACTGGGGACCCTTGGGGACACAAATCCAGATGTCCCCAAGACCCTGTTCTGTCCCCAGAGGACACCGGGACCCCTTGGGGACACGGATCCAGCTGTCCCCAAGGTGCTCATTGTCCCCATGTCCCTCAAGGGCACTGGGGACACTTGGGGACATGGATCCAAGATGTCCCCAAGACCCGCCCGTGCCCCATGTCCTTCAGGGACACAAGGGACCACTTGGGGACACAGACTGGGGTGTCCCCATGTCCCTTGGGGACGCAGATCCAGATGTCCCCATGTCCCTCCTGTGTCCCCATGTCCCTCAGGACCCCTTGGGGACACCAGCCCCGGTGTCCCCATGTCCCTCCTGTGTCCCCATGTCCCTCGGGGACATGGACCGAGGTGTCCCCACGTCCCTCCTGGTGTCCTCCTGTCCCTCCTGTGTCCCCATGTCCCCTGGGGACATGGACTGAGGTGTCCCCATGTCCCTCCTGGTGTCCCCATGTCCCCTGGGGACATGGACCGAGGTGTCCCCATGTCCCTCCTGGTGTCCTCCTGTCCCTCCTGTGTCCCTGTGTCACCTGGGGACACTGTCCCTGGTGTCCCCTTGTCCCTTCTGTGTCCCCATGTCCTTTAGGGACATGGGGAACCCCTTGGGGACACTGTCCCAGGTGTCCCCTGGTCCCTCCTGATGTCCCCATGTCCTTCCTGGTGTCCCCATGTCCCTCGTGGACACTGGGGACCCTTTGGGGACATTGGTGACGCTTTGGGGACACCGCCTCAGGTGTCCCCATGTCCCTCCTGGTGTCCCCATGTCCCTCTTGGTGTCCCCATGTCCCTCTTGGTGTCCCCATGTCCCTCGTGGACACTGGGGACCCTTTGGGGACAATGGGGACCCTCTGGGGACACCGCCCCAGGTGTCCCCATGTCCCTCGTGGACACTGGGGACCCTTTGGGGACACTGTCCCTGATGTCCCCATGTCCCTCCTGATGTCCCCATGTCCCTCGTGGACACTGGAGACCCTTTGGGGACAATGGGGACCCTCTGGGGACACCGCCCCAGGTGTCCCCATGTCCCTCGTGGACACTGGGGACCCTTTGGGGACACTGTCCCTGATGTCCCCATGTCCCTCCTGATGTCCCCATGTCCCTCGTGGACACTGGAGACCCTTTGGGGACAATGGGGACCCTCTGGGGACACCGCCCCAGGTGTCCCCATGTCCCTCGTGGACACTGGGGACCCTTTGGGGACACCGCCCCAGGTGTCCCCATGTCCCTCCTGATGTCCCCATGTCCCTCCTGATGTCCCCATGTCCCTCGTGGACACTGGAGACCCTTTGGGGACAATGGGGACCCTCTGGGGACACCGCCCCAGGTGTCCCCATGTCCCTCGTGGACACTGGGGACCCTTTGGGGACACTGTCCCTGATGTCCCCATGTCCCTCCTGATGTCCCCATGTCCCTCGTGGACACTGGAGACCCTTTGGGGACAATGGGGACCCTCTGGGGACACCGCCCCAGGTGTCCCCATGTCCCTCGTGGACACTGGGGACCCTTTGGGGACACTGTCCCTGATGTCCCCATGTCCCTCCTGATGTCCCCATGTCCCTCGTGGACACTGGAGACCCTTTGGGGACAATGGGGACCCTCTGGGGACACCGCCCCAGGTGTCCCCATGTCCCCTCAGGTGCCACCACCGGCCCTGTCCCCACCCCCTGGAGGTGCCACCATTGTCCCCACCCCCCCGGGTGGGTGACCATGGTTTGGGGGGGGTGGGTTTGTCACCAAATGTCCCCCAGCGCTGGCGCCGCGTCACCGTCACCATCCTCGTGTCTTGTGTCTGTCCCCATCTCACCGGGGGGGAGGTGACACCCGTGTCCGTGTGCCATGTCCTGTCACCGCGGGGGGGACAGGCCGGGGGGGGGACAGTTCTGGTCTGGGGGTGGGGACAGTTCTGGGGTTGGGGACAGTCCAGGGGTTGGGGACAGTCCAGGGGGGGTTGGGGACAATGAGGCAGCGCCAGGACATTTTTTGGGGTGGGTGGGGACAATTTTAGGAGGGGGTGTGGACAATTTTGGGGGTGACCCTCCTCAGTTTTGGGGGCGGGGTGGGGACAAACCGAGGGCGCCCCGCCTTCATTTTTGGGGTTCATTTTAGGGTGAAACTTTTAGGGTCAGGGTGAGCTTTAGGGCTTCGGGGTGAAGTTTTAGGGAGTCGGGGTTGATTTTAGGGGTCGGCGTTAATTTTCGGGGTTCAGGGTTAATTTTAGGGGGTCGGGTTTGATTTGAGGGCTTCAAGGTTAGTTTTAGGGGGTCGGCGTTAATTTTAGGGGTTCGGGGTTAATTTTGGGGGGTCAGGATTGATTTGAGGGGGTCAGGATTGATTTTAGGGGTTCAAGGTTAGTTTTAGGGGGTCGGCGTTAATTTGAGGGGGTCAGAGTTAGTTTTAGGGGGTCAGGTTTGATTTGATGGGTTCAGGGTTAATTTTAGGGGGTCGGGGTTAATTTGAGGGGTTCAAGGTTAATTTTAGGGGGTCGGCGATAATTTGAGGGGTTCAAGGTTAATTTTAGGGGGTCAGGATTGATTTTAGGGCTTCAGGGTTAATTTTAGGATGTTGGGTTTGATTTTAGGGGTTCAGGGTTAGTTTCAGGGGGTCAGGTTTGATTTGAGGGGTTCAAGGTTAATTTTAGGGGGTCGGCGTTAATTTGAGGGGTTCAGGGTTAATGTTAGGGGGTCGGGTTTGATTTGAGGGGTTCAGGTTTGATTTGAGGGGTTCATGATTGATTTGAGGAGGTCAGGATTGATTTTAGGGGTTCAGGGT